TTTGACACAATTAATCACAGGATTCTGATTAAAAAATTAGAATATTATGGCATAAGAGGAATATCTCAACAATGGTTTCAAGATTATTTAACAAATAGAAAACAAATTGTAAAATACAATCAGGCAAGATCAAAAGAAATGACAATCACAAGTGGAGTCCCCCAGGGTTCCATTCTGGGACCACTGTTGTTCCTTTTGTATATAAACGATATACAACATTGCAGTAAAATAGTTTCATTTATATTATTTGCGGATGACACAACGATATCTCATAGTAACAAATGTCTTAAAACATTAAATGAAATTATGCAAGTAGAAATTAATAAAGTAGCTGAATGGTTAAATATAAATAAATTATCTATAAATACTTCAAAAACAAAGTTTATTCTATTTAGATCTTGTAACAAAAAACAGAATTTTGATGTAACAATAGAAATAAACAAAGAAAAATTAAAACAGGTAAAAAATACCACATTCCTTGGTATTGTTATTGATGAATGCTTGACATGGAATGAACACGTGGATTTAATAGCAAAAAAAGTTATTAAATCTGCTGGAGTAATAGCAAAAATAAGACATTTTACAAATTTAAACGCTCTTAAGCTTATTTACTATGCTTTAGTCTATCCATATCTTATCTATGGAAATATAATCTGGGGTAATACCTACAAAAAAAGAATCCAAAAACTTATGAATGTTCAAAAACAAATTGTGCGCCTTATGACTTTCAACTCTTATTTGGCACATAGCGAACCAATCTTTAAACACTTAAAAATTCTAGATATTTATAAAATTAATGATTATTTAATAAGTTTATTTATGTTTCGATATCACTACACCAAAAATCTACCAGAAGTATTCACTGATTACTTTGTGACCAATGATCAAATCCACCAACACAATACAAGAAATAAAACACAACTCCACAAGTCATACAAAAGAACGAACTATGTAAAACACACTCTTTCAAATAAAGGAGTCGATGTTTGGAATAGACTTGAATGTCATTTTAAAAATATCACTTCTCCTAATACTTTCAAAAATACTATAAAAGAACACTTCCTTCAAATATCAAGTAATTAATCAAATTATATGTACAATGTAACACTTTATGCTGTAAATAGCTTTCACATTTTCTCTCTTTCTTTTCTTTTAACTATAATACTTATTGCAATATATTTTAAATTTGGTTGACTGTATAGTCTGTAGTTAGAACTGGCATCTAAATTTTATATCTATAGGGGTCTTAAATAAAAGCCTGTTAAGGTTTCTGGTAGGCCCCTACCATAACATTAATCTAATTTTTTTTAATGTAAATATTTATATGTTATAATATATGGGCAATAAAAGGGGAAAAAAATGTATTTGCTGAAATGCGGAAAAAACAATATATTGTTTATGTGCACCTGGATCCAAGTTCTGGAGATGTTGTTTTTTCAAAGTGTTGCTGTCCTGCCGGTATTGGAGGCCGTTGTAAGCATGTAGCAGCTACTTTGTTCCAGCTTCTGGATTACGTAGAACTAGGCCTGTCCGATATACCAGATGACAAGACATGCACTCAAGAAATACACAAATGGCATGTTCCAAAAAAATCCACCAAACATAAAGCTCTATTGTTCGAAGACTTAATTTTCCCCCAGGACACATATGAAAAGGACAAAAAGGGACGCAAACGTGCTGTGGTAGAAGGTAAAAGAGACAGTTAGAGCTCAACATGTGAAAAGGTTTGTAAAGGAGATTTGGAGCGTCTTACAGCTGGTTTAGAAGAAGCTAGTACCTGTTATTTAATTGGAGTGCTAACGGACACTGATTGTGAACCTTGTAAGTTTGATGTCAATGCATTACCATCTAGGCAAAGAATTGTTAAGGCACATGAAGTGGGCGATAAGCTAGAGAAGACATTTGTAAGGTCTAATATACTATCAAAGTTAGATGACAAATTAGATTGCAGTCATGTTCCAGGAAGTGACAATTGCAAAGAGTTTATCAGCACAAGATTGATGATTGACAAAAAGGGATGCCATGAAATTGAAAACAACACGCGTCAACAAAGCCAATGCAAGGAGTGGTATGACAAAAGAAAATGCCGGCTGACTGCATCAACGTTGTTGTGGTAAAGAGAAGGAAATCAACATATCGAAAGAGTATTGTGAACACAATCACTAAACCAAGCCAAACAAAAAATGCAAATTGTCTGTGGGGAACTGAAAATGAGCAAAATGCCTTGATGAGATACCACCAGTATAAAGATGAGAGCAACCTACCAGTGAATATTTGTTCATCATGTGGGTTGGTGGCGAATCCAAAATGGCCATGGCTTGGAGCAAGCCCCGATGCTCTTATCTCTGATGAGATGGAAGAGTCTGTCTATGGAGCTGTGGAGGTGAAATGTCCTGCATCCAAAGCTGGAATCAGTGTTTTGGAAGCTTGCAGTGACAAAGCCTTTTGTTTGGAGATTATTGATGGCAAACCTTCCCTCAAAAAGAAATCAAGATGATTGTTTTCTTGCCACTGAAGAAACATAATACATGAAGAGTATTATAACTGAGAGAAAGCAAGAGCAGCAAACACTGTCTGCTAGATTGTCTGGGGAAACCTCAACTGACAACTGGTACGTCCCGGATTGTATTTATTTACGTTTTGGTTATATTTGTGACATAAAACAAACATGTGATGGCCATGTAAAACAAAACAAATGGTTACTGGTCTCCTTGTAAAATATTATTGTCACCTCCGTTATATTGCACAAAACGTCTTCAATGAGAGATGGCTTAAAGATTACTGTGTTGCTAAATTGGAACTCGGACTCACGCAAGAAAACGTATCACTTTGCACAAAGTTGTGGGAAATATACTTCAATTATACTATATACTTCAATTGTATACTTTAATATGGTCCATAAGTGTAAATGTGGTAACTGTGTCCTGGGCCCCTGGCTCATTGTTGTTTATGTGAACCTTGTAAGGAGACAATGCTGGAAGAAAACGTGCATATGACCGCTGCTTAACTGAGCATCCAGCATTTGATATTGGTTGTTTGAAACATTGGGTGTTAAAACTTGCTGGTTTAAGTTAGAAAACCCGAATAAAAGGCTGCCAAATTATACCACTCTGTATACCAAAGGGAAAAAGAGTGAACCAAAGTAAGTATTTTCAATGTGTAGTTCTAGGCAATACCTCCCCCCCTCCCCCCAATGGAAGAGATTTACTTAATTATGAACCACCATCCCTCTAGATTTTTCTAACTGTCACTGACAGCTTGTTTCCGCAGGCCTTAAAATATCGGTCGGTCACGGACATTGTCCGACCCATTCGTGAAATTGTCCGACGTAGAGAGGAAACCACCGGACATTCTGTCCGACCTAAGTGAAAATGAGGTTTATTGTTTGTCCGACCCGAGTGTAATGGTGTCAGACCGAACTGTAGCTGTATGATTAACGTTAATCACTGTAGTTAAATCCTTAACTATATGATTAGTTAACTACATGACTTAATTGCGTTGCACAAAACGTAGTTTGTAGCAGGGTCTATTCTAAGGAAATTTCAACACTGCACACTTCAGAGCAGGCGTCATCAATGATGTCATCCTGTGACGTCATCCAGGGCCGTAGCTAGCATGTATTGTTTTGGGGGGGGGGAGTGTAGTCCATAAATTTCCGATTGACGAAAAAAATTTCTGAATATTTCATGGCATACGAAGCCACGAAGGCGTTTGCTATCCGGACAATGAAGACGTAATTTATAAACAAAAATACACATATTTTACGCACAGACATACTACAGAAGCATACAGTGCTGTAGGAAGGGCCAAAGGGCCGAAGAAATTTTTAAAATTAGAGTATCTGAAATGCCATTTCCTGGACTTTGGGAAAGTTTTGACAGAATTCTGATGGTCAGAAAACAGCTTTTAGTATGTCGAAATTTACAATTTGCTTAGTAGTACTAAATGGGCAAAGCCGTATTTAATTAACTATATATTGGAGAAGTTGTAGCCGCTTAAGTAGTAATGTAGTCGTAGTACATTACTACTTAAGTAATGTAGCCGCTTAAAATTAATCAATTGTCAGTATTTTAAAGGTATATTCTTTAAATGATAAAGGTTTGTATGATTTTGAAAAAAGAATGATTATTAGCAGATTATTGGGAGGGCTGCAGCCATTCTCCCCCACCCCCCCGGGGTGGTACGGCCCTGAGATGTGGTAAACCGAAAAACATTTACCGATTTACGATTTGGTAAATGTTATCGATGTAAATGCCATGATTTCGCAAATCAGTTTATACTGACAATACAATTACATTTTCTCTGTTTAACTACTAAAATTTTGTTATACTATTATTGCTGTAATTTTCCGAATGGCCAATCCGATTTTCCGAATATGCTAATTCTAAAAAAATGGGGGGGGTGACCACCCCCAATACCCCTTCGCTACGGCCCTGACGTCATCGTTGAATTTTTATGTAGAACATAATGACAACATACAGGGTGTCCTCAAAAAAGTAAACTCCTTCAAATTCAAATCAGCCATAACCTATTGTAGTAATTCGCTGATGCAACACAAATGATCCTCAATGAATAGAGCTGTCAAATTACCACAATAAATTATGGTTAATTTGAATTTGAAAGGGTATACTCTTTTTGGGACACACTGTAGAATGACAACGTGACGTTTCCCTTGGGCATAGTCGATAAGCACGTATTGTTATAAAGTACTAAATATTGGAATTATTATCTGAACTTGGCCTATATTTGGCCAATCTTTGTTTGTACCTTCACTCATTTTGTTGGAAAGGCATTTTGGAATTCTCAACTTTTATATTTCATCTACTTCGCTCCTTCAGCACATACAAAGTTGAAATTTATTTCAAATTTCAACGCTGCACACTTTTGCACTCAATACTGCACACTTTTTATCCAATACTGCACAAAGTGTGCAATACTGCACACTAAAATAGGCCCTGGTTTGTAGGATGATTAGCTGGTCACGTAGTTAACTTGCGTGGGGCTTGCGTGGGGTTTTAAACACAAAATTACATAAAGTAAGCAGCGATTAACGACCGCTGACAAGCATTTTTAATACGATTGTGGACTCGCATTTTGCAAATAGGCGGGAATTTTATTCGAAACAGTGAAAAATAAACTAGAAAACAAGTTAAAAATCAACGAAGAAGGCCATTTTTACTGGAGATGTCTACGTTAAACCAAAGTGTAAATGTTTGGCAATTATATATCATGTTTCTTCGTGTAATGGGCTCTACGTCGTCTTCGAGAAATCTTCCCGTGCAAACTATATGTTGTTTTCGCCGAAAAACCAAAGCGATATAGCGTTTGAAGAGTTTATATTAATGTCAGAAAACATTCACAGAGAAGATAGCGATTGAAAATCCCAGGTAAGCATTACTTTTTATTGTTGTTAAACTGAAAAATGTTGTTCCCTCTTATACAAGCACCATTTTTAACTACGTTTTGAAAAGTTAACGATACCCTAAAGCATCGTTAACTTTAACTACGTTTTAACTACAGTGAACGCTAACCACTGTTTTATACAACCGAGTTAACTACGTGATTAAAGTTAACCACAATTTAACTACAAAATAGTGATTAAAAAAGTGATTAAGAGCTTTATACAACCGGCCCAGAGTAATATTGTATAAAGGCGAACTGGAAATGTTGTTTTAACGTAGTCGAAAACGGGCTTAAGTTATCGAAGTCTTTTTTAATACTGCTGTTCTGGAAAGCGAGTTAATTTTGGCTTGGAAATAAGCATGACTTCACAACATTTACCGTTCAGAATTAATACATTGTGCTGATATTCCTTTGTGTCATTCAGACTTATTTCCGAGTCAAAAATGAACTGAAGGTCATCGGACATATGTCCGACCCAAACTCAACGTCATCGGACATTTTGTCAGACGGCCCTGTAAAAGATATTTTAAGGCCTCCTTGTTTCCCCCACCCCTATGGAAATTCTGGACAGTTTTTTACTATTATCATACTTTCAAGCATGATGTCAGTGTTTTAAAAAAATAACTCGGCAAGATACAACATTGTTCACATGAACAAGACTAGAAACCGTATCTTGGCATATGCACAGCAAGGAAGGGGGTACCTTCTTGAACTGTAGTAGCTTCACTACTTGCCGATATGCAACTGCCCTAAGAAACCTTTCAAAAAGAAAATTTTTATATTGACATGACAGCTTTAAAATTTAGTAATCCAAAAACTATCATGTCATTTGTGAGCTGTGTTCTGCACAAAAACACCAGGATTCATAATACAAGATCCTTGTTTAGCTTACTTATAACATAGCTATATGCCTTTCAAGTTTTCTTGTTCACATGATGGAATGTTTCAGTACCTTGCTCATCTTTACAGGGATCAAACATTACTAAATTCAGAATATGATACTCAGATCATGACAGTTTATCAGTTTGGCTGGCCCTGGCTGATGAGAATTTCTTACCACTCATCGCCAGAGTAGGGAGTGCTCTTTTTCTCACCCACCTACCTGGTAATCATTAAAGAAAAACATGCAAATGTCTGGGGCTAGCCTTTTGAGGGAATGCTTAATGCCAAAAATTACTGATACATGACTCAGTCAAATTGCATAGTTCCAGGAAATAGCCATACCCCCCACACACACACAAGTTTTCCTTACAAGGCTCACATAAACAGCAACGACATTCATCGGGTTTTAACACAAAGGCCAGGACACGGTTACCACATTTACACCTATGGACCATTAAATATATATTAAAGTATACCGACAATTAAAGTATATATAATTGAAGCATATACTATATCATCAATTAAATTAAATTGAAGTATATTTCCCACAACTTTGTGCAAAGTAATATGTTTTCTTACGTGAGTCCGAGTTCTAAATTGGCAACACAGTAATCTTTAAGCCATCTCTCATTGAAGGCGTTTCGTGCAATAACGGAGGTGACAATAATATTTTATAAGGAGACCAGTAACCATTTGTTTTGTTTTACATGGCCATCACATGTTTGTTTTACGTCACAAATATAACCAAAACGTGAATAAATACAATCCAAAACGTACCAGGTTTCAGTTGAGGTTTCCCCAGACAATCTAGCAGACAGTGTTTGCTGCTCTTGCTTTCTCTCAGTTATAGTACTCTTCATGTATTATGTTTCTTCAGTGGCAAGAGCTTCGACTGAAGTATCATAGGCCTCGCACAAACTCACACTTTTCTCCATATTTACATCACCCCCGCTATCAAAGAAACGTCTTCGGCAAAAGAGAGTTCGCAAGATGATTGTGTTGCAAAATTTGAGCTGTGGCTTTCGTCAGAAGACATAATTTTGAACAAAAAACAGCCTAGTATAAGCCTTTGATAATATTAATTTCTCCTTCGTGAAAGAAGCGTGTTGAGTAAATGACGTCACATCCGACTAAGGAATCGACACCTCGCTATTTGATAACTCAGTAATGTTTTGCGTTGAAAAAAAAGGCAGAAAGAAATGGAATTGGACG